TGTGCGGAGCACGGCATCCGCCAGTCGTTCACGCTTCCGGCCTCTCCGCAGCAGAATGGGGTTGCTGAGCGCCGCATTGGCTTAGTCATGGAGGTCGCTCGTACCTCCATGATCCATGCGGCTGCCCCCCATTTTCTGTGGCCGTTTGCGGTCCGGTACGCCGCGCATCAGCTCAACCTCTGGCCCCGTGTCTCCTTGCCGGAGACCTCGCCCACACTGCTGTGGACGGGGAAGGTTGGCGATGCGTCGCGTTTCCGGGTCTGGGGTGCTCGTGCCTTTGTCCGCGATACCACCGCGGACAAGCTCTCCGCCCGCGCTGTTCCCTGTGTCTCCTTGGCTTTGTCCCTGACGCGCCTGGTTGGCAGTTTTACCACCCCACCTCGCGCCGTGTCTTCCCCTCTCAGGACGTCACGTTCGACGAGTCGGTTCCCTTTTACCGTCTCTTCCCCTACCGCACTGCCCCTCTCCCCCCCCCGCCGCTCTTCCTCGCTCCAGGTGCTCCCCAGGTAGACCCCCCTCCCGCTCCAGGTCCTGCTCCTTCAGGTGTGTCTCATGTAGACCCTCCTCCTCAGGTTGAGGTCACTGGTGACTCAGGTGCTGCTGAGGGTGGTGCTGCTGCTGGGGGTGCTGAGCCTGGGGGTGCGGAGCCTGGGGGTGCTGAGCCTGGGGGTGCTGAGCCTGGGGGTGCGGAGCCTGGGGGTGTGGAGACTGGAGGTGCTGAGCCTGAGTGTGAGGAGTCTGGGGGTGCTGAGCCTGGGGGCGCTGAGGCGTCTGGTGAGCAGTCTCCCGGGAGCGGCCGTCTCCGTAGTCGCTCCGCTGGTGCCTCGCCGCTGCACTCTCGTAGTCGACTCCCTCTCTCCCCACAGCAGCTGCTTGAGTGGTACGCTGGCCGTCAGGGTCGCGCTGCTGGAGCTACGGGCCCTGGTGCGGGAGGCGCTGGAGCTGGTGACTCTGCCACTGGAGTTGTTTCTACTGGAGGGTCTGGAGCTACTGAGGGTGCTGGAGCTGGAGGTTCTGGAGCTGCTGGGGGTGCTGGCGCTGGTGGCGCTGGCGCTGGAGGTTCTGGAGCTGCTGAGGGTGCTGGTGCTGAGGGTTCTGAGTCTGCTGTTGCGCGGCTTCCTTGGAGTAGCCGCCTTCGTCCGCGTGTGCCTCTCACCTCGCAGCAGCTGCACGACTGGTACGGTCGCCGTCAGGGTCGCGCTTCTGGAGCTCGGGGCTCTGCCGCTGGAGGTGCTTCTGCTGTCGTCACTGGAGCTGGGAGTGGTGCTGGTCCCGGAGGTGCTCGTACTGGAGGTACTGGAGCTGCTGGGGCTGGAGGTGCTGAGTCTGAGGGTGCTGCTGCTGGAGGCACTGAGGCTGGAGACCCTGGGACTGGAGGTGCCGGTTCTGGGGGTGCTGCTGTTGGTGGAGCTGGTCCTGGAGGAGCTGGCGCTGAGGGTTCTGGAGCTGCTGGAGGTGTTGGCGCAGGTGGCCCTGGAGCTGGAGGTTCTGGAGCTGCTGAGGGTGCTGGCGCTGGAGGTTCTGTAGCTGCTGGAGGTACTGGCGCTGGTGGCGCTGGAGCTGGAGGTCCTGGAGCTGCTGAGGGTGCTGGCGCTGGAGGTTCTGGAGCTGCTGGAGGTGCTGGAGCTGCTGGGGGTACTGGAGCTGCTGGTGCTGGTGTCACTGCACAGCCGCGCCTGTTCTTCGCTCCACCGTCTCCGTCGTCTCAGCCACCGCCTGACTCTGTGCTTCGCCAGGTTCGTAGTCTCCCTTCGTCTACTGGTCTTCCGTTGCAGCCTGGTTCACCGCTGCCTGCTCCTTCTCCTTACACTGAGCAGCTAGGGAGTCTTACTGAGCGTCGTGAGCCTGCGTCGCGTCCTGTCTTGCCTGTCAGTTCTGGTCGTTCCGGTCGTCGTGTTCCTCGTCCGCGTCTGCCGGCTGTCCCCGACACCCACCTAGTAGTCCGTCGTCCTTCCTTTCCTCCACAGCTTGTTCCTCTGCCGTCCCCTCCTGCGTCTTCTCTGCCTGTCGTTGCGGACCCCGAGTCTGACCGGTTTCGTGCTGAGCACCCTACTGTCACGCGTCTGCTAGCCACTGTTGTCACTGACCCGTCGTTTGAGTCTGCTGCTACGTCTGCCTTAGTTGCTGAGCTTGTTGACTTTGCTGCTGCCTGTCGTCTAGACTACGCCGCTAGTCTTGTTGCTGAGTCTGAGTCTGTCTGTCCTCTGTCCGTCAGGGGTGAGTGTGCTCTTGGCACGGACGTCCTTGAGGACAGGCGGGAGGACCTTGAGTGTCTTGCAGCCGCTGCGCCTCATCTCGTGTCCATGCTGCTTGCCCCTGAGGGAGACCCGGATGCTCCAGACATCCCGACCCCGCGCTCTTACGCTGAGGCGATCGCGGGTGAGTACTCCTCTCAGTGGCAGACAGCCATGGACGCAGAGATGGCATCCTGGAAGTCCACAGGCACCTACGTCGACGAGGTTCCCCCACCTGGGGCGAACATCGTCAGTGGCATGTGGATTTTCAGGGTGAAGCGGCCGCCAGGTACTCCGCCTGCCTTCAAGGCGCGTTACGTTGCACGAGGTTTCAGTCAGCGAGAGGGAGTAGACTTCTTCCAGACCTTCTCCCCCACCCCGAAGATGACCACTCTTCGGGTACTGCTGCACGTTGCCGCTCAGCGTGACTACGAGCTTCACTCTCTTGACTTCAGCACAGCCTTCTTACAGGGCAGCCTGCACGAGGAGATCTGGCTGCGCCGCCCACCTGGCTTCACTGGGTCGTTCCCTCCTGGTACCTAGTGGAGCCTCAGGCGGCCGGTCTACGGTCTCCGCCAGGCGCCACGTGAGTGGCACGACACACTGAGGACGACACTTGCGGCTCTTGGGTTTGCTCCGTCGACTGCTGACCCGTCGCTGTTTCTGCGCACCGACACTTCGCTGCCGCCGTTCTACATCCTCGTGTACGTCGACGACTTGGTCTTTGCCACTGCTGACACTGAGGCTCTCGCCCTGGTGAAGTCGGAGCTGCAGAAGAGACACACGTGCACAGACCTGGGTGAGCTGACAAGCTATCTTGGCTTGCGGATCACCCGGGACAGAGCACGCCGCACCATCACACTGACTCAGTCACACATGGTGCAGCAGGTCCTTCAGCGCTTCGGCTTCACCTGGTCCTCGGCACAGCACACTCCTCTGGCTACAGGTCACTCGCTCTCAGCTCCACCTTCGGACGAGTCCGTAGAGCCGAGTGGTCCTTACCCAGAGCTAGTGGGCTGCCTCATGTACCTGATGACCTGCACTCGTCCTGACCTTGCGTACCCTCTTGGCCTTCTGGCTCGCTACGTGGCTCCTGGTCGGCACCGAAAGGTGCACATGGATGCTGCTAAGAGGGTACTACGCTACTTGTGCAGTACATCGGGCATGGGGCTCGTGCTTGGAGGACGGAGCGACGTTGTCCTCACTGGGCACTCAGACGCTTCTTGGGTTGACGACCAGGCTACGCAGCGGTCGTCACAGGGTTACACCTTCAGCCTTGGCTCTGGTTCGGTTTCTTGGCGTTCTACACGCTCGTCTTCAGTTCTCAGCTCCAGTTGTGAGGCTGAGATCTACGCCACAGCCATGGCTGCACAGGAGTTACGCTGGCTCACCTACCTGCTGACCGACTTGGGAGAGCGGCCTCGTTCTCCTCCAATGCTATACGTCGACAACAAGGCAGCCATTGCCTTGTGTGAGGAGCACAGACTGGAGCACAGAACAAAGCACATCGCTCTGCGTTACTTCCTGGCTCGAGAGTTGCAGCAGCGTGGTCAGCTTCGTCTGCGTTACGTGGCCACTCGGGCCAACACTGCTGATATATTCACCAAGGCACTTCAGTCTGGTGATCATCAGCGTTTCTGCACCGTGCTAGGGCTTGTGCCCACTTTTCCTCACTTGCTGTAGGCTTTGCTTGTACTGTGATCTATATATATATACCTGCATGCTTGCTTTGCTAGGTAGAGATCACTGTGCTGTTTGTATTGCATATATACCCCTGCATGTGAACTGGCCTTGTGGCCGCTTGCTTGTGCTCAGAATGCGTGGTGATCTTGAGATCCACCCTGAGCTTTGCTTTGCTTTGTTCTCTTGCTTGACCGGTCTTGTGACCTTTTGGTTGTTCTTGCTATCCCCCACTTTGCCTATGGGGGTGTGTCAAACTATGTTTCTATGTTGTAGGCTGTAGTGGGGTAGCCTCTACTGAGTACAACACTTTAGGGTTAGACTTTGCCCTACTTGTACTCATCCTTGCTTCCTAGTCAATCATTCCTGCCTCTTCATTCTGACAGCAACTTCAGCACATAACGGTGCGGAACAGTCACTCACTGGCCCTTGAGATACCGGTACCGTATCTCAACTCATCGAGAGTGGGACTTGCTGAGGTGTTGAAACCCAGTAAACCTCCCATCACCCAGAAACCCCATACTGTCCCACAGGATGCTTCACGAATCACAACAGCTACAGTACCATCCCTGACGCATGCCCTGTACCACCATCACACCTGCTTCGCAAAGGGGAGGTGAGGCGTAGCACAGGCAAGCACAGGGGATGCTTGTACAGGCTGGAGTTCCAGGGTGGTTCACACAGGTCAGAAGCATTCCCTGTGCTCGCCTCACCTCCCCTCTGCAAATCTCCCCCCAGAAACTCAAGCCCTTCGCTGAGAGAAAAGAGGCTAAAAAAATGGAGCCCTTTCACCACGCGCATGGCGCCCACACCGTGCATGGCTGAGGAGGAACTGATGGTGGAGCCTGTTGCTGTGCAAGAGACCGCCGAGGCACCGGGGGGAGGGTGGGGAGAGGGGGGGGGGGGGAGGGGAATGCAGGGGGGTGTGTCTGGGAGAGAGCTTCTGAGCCACATGCACAGCACCAACACAGTTCATGGTTGAGAGGGAATCAACGAACGACCGCCGTGCTGAAGCAGATAGCCAGGACAATCAGGGGGGGGAAACTGGTGGTGTGTGTTAGGAGGGGAGGGAGGAGGCTGTGGGGTTCAGGGCAGAGGAGGATTTGATGAAGAGCCCGTGTTTGTGAAGCAGATGATTGGGGCAAAGGAGGGCGAGGGGGACGCAGGGAGGTGTGGTTGAGAGAGCTTCTCTGCCACGTGCACAGCTCCAACACGGTTAATGGCCGAGGACGACCCGATGAAGAGCCCGTGGCTGTGCAAGAGGTAGCTGGGGCAAAGGTGGGAGGGGGGGGGAGAGGGGGAGGAGGGGAGGGAGAATGCAGGGGGGGGGTGTTTCAGAGGGGGGTAACTTCGCCTACACATTTCATGGCGCACTCGCAGGCAGAGATATCTCCCTCCATGTTCAGTAGATATGATGATTTCTTCACACTTTTATCAAGATCACAGCACATGATCGAGCGAGGAATAGTGCAAGCTCCTTCACAGGGAGAAGACTCTGATGTTGCAACCGGCACACTTAATAGTTTTTCTTTATGTTTACCCCCCTAAACACAGATACCGTAGCATATGTACAGTGTACACTCGAGTATTGTCATGCCTCACACAGTAAGTTAGCACCACTCGGAGCCGCCACCACACTCCCATGATGGAACACCACCAGCACCTGTACCTCTCCATTCTTCCAGATACAAGAGCGTCGGATTCCAACACTCCCCTGGAGCTATTACTTCTGCTGCTTCTGCTTCTGCTGTTGATCTTAAAGCCCCTGTTCCCATCAATGCAGCTGCTTCTGCTGCTGCATCTGCCGTAGGTAAATCTGCTGCTGCAGCTGCTGCTCTCAGGGTTGAAGGCCGCAAGCCTTGAGTGGCAGGGAAGGTACTCTGGTTGGTAGCTGAGAAAACAGCTGAATTACTGTGTGAAACGGTTTCCGCAGAAACTAACTGAGAATTCTCACAAGTGCTGGCTGGAATATGCAGGCTGGCTTGTGCGAAAGCTGCATTGGCTAAACCTTCCATACCCCTTGTGTTGGTGGTGGTGGTGGTGGTAGTGGTGCTGGTGCTGCTGGTGCTGCTGTTGCTGCCACTGCTGCTGCTGCCCCTGTTACTCATATATTTGAGCCTGATATTGCTACTGCTGCCACTACTGCTGCCTCCTATACTGCAGCAGCTCCCACGAACCACCTCGTTACGACGAACCCCATTGGCAGGTTCGGGAGTGCCGAACCTGAGCCTATCCATCTCGCCCGACTGTGGCTTGCCTTGGGGCAGCACTGGAGAAGAGGCAGAGGCGAGCTTATGAGGCGCCTCGAACAACGAGGCAGGGGGCTGCAGGGACAGCAGCCGTGTTTCCTGCAACAGCAGCACCTCTTGTATCACCTTCATCTCACGCTCCCTTAGCATCTCCTGCAGACTTGCCCTTTCTTGCATGTTCTGAGCCGCCTGGAAACTCGTCTCATGACTCGAGGCTTCTCGCAGCCGCAGCACCTCCTGCATCACCTTCATCTCATGCTCCTTCAAAAGCGCCTCATGCCCTTCAACCATCTCCTGCCAGCCTGCACCTTCCCGCATCCCCATCCCTTCCTGCTGCTGCTGTCTTGTGCCTTCTAGCCTGACTGGCCTGACCACACCCTGGTCACCAGGCCCCAACAAGTCTGACTGACCTTGAAGCTGGGCCGTATGGGAGCTACCCAGCAGCATGCCCGCCTTCCCTTGCCGCCTGGTCGTGTCCTCCCTTTCTGGGTTCCCCAAGACAGGTGCAATCTCCTGGCCAATCAGAATGTCCTGATAGCCCGGTGGTATTGGAAACCCTAGGGGCAGTGATGGCGCCTGTGCCGGCAGTTGTGGCTGTTGTAGCGCCTGTGGCGGCTGTAGCATGTGGGGCGGCAGTGACGGCTGTAGCGTGTGAGCCGGCAGTGACGGCTGTCGCACCTGTGCCGGCAGCTGTCGCGGTTGTAGCGCTTCTTGCGTTGAAAAAACAGGTGCTTGTTGCAGCAATTGTGCCTTTGATTGGGGTTGTTGTAACGGTTCTGTCAGCAGCTGTGACGGCTGTAGCGCATGTGCCCATGTCTGAGGCGGCTGTAGTATCACCTGTGCCAGCGGCCGTGGCTGCAGCTGTGGCAGCTGTAGCGGCTGTAGCGGCTGTAGCGGCTGTGCCAGCAGCATAGTGTGGGGCAGAACTTGGAGTGGCCCAGCTCCGCTTTCCGTGAGTCCGGCCATTTCAGTGGATGGCTGTAGCAGGCGCATCGAATCCTGTGGCGGTTGTAGCGGTTGTAGTGGTGCTGATAGAAACTCTGGATGCTGTAGCGTGTGGGAAAGCACCTGTGGCTGGTGCAGCATATGTGAAAACACCTCTGGCGGGCGTCGCACCTGTGGTTGTTGTAGAACCCGCGGGTGCTGTAGCGCCTGTGAGTGCTGTAGCGCCTGTGAGTGCTGTAGCGCCTGTGAGTGCTGTAGCGCCTGTGAATGCTGTAGCGCCTGTGAATGCTGTAGCGCCTGTGAATGCTGTAGCGCCTGTGAGTGCTGTAGCGCCTGTGAGTGCTGTAGCGCCTGTGAGTGCTGTAGCGCCTGTGAGTGCTGTAGCGCCAGCAGTTGCTGCTGTAGCGCCTGGGAGAGCACCTGTGGCTGTTGCAGCGTATGTGAAAGCAGCTGCGGTTGCTGTGGCGCCTGCACTTGCTGTAGCGCCTGTGGCGGCTGTAGCACCTTGGATAACACCTGTGGGTGCTGCAGCGTCTGCATCAACTGTTGGCGCTGGTTCTGTGCCGGCATTCTCAGGTGTGACTGCGGGAAGGCGAAGCGGGAAGGTGGTGGGAATGACCGAGGGGTGCCGAGGGAACCACGGATAGGAGGAGGACTGGGGCGAGGCAGTGAAAAGGTGTTGCGATGAGAGGCAAGGAGAGAAGCAGGATATGGTTCTGGCATTGGAGAAGTCATTTCGGATGGTCTGGATGCCCACATGTGTGACACGGTTGATGGTATGCATGATGGTAATGATGGTATGCATGGTGGCATGGATGATGGTTCGAATGAGGGTATAGATGCTGGCATATACGATGATATGGGTGATGGCATGGATGATGGTACAGACGGCGTTATATATGATGGTGTAGATGATGGTATATATGATGACACGGATGACAGTATAGATGGCGTTATAAACGATGCTGTAGACGACGGTAATGTCGGAGACGCCACATGCGGCGGCCACAGGAACGAGCTTCGAGTCGTCTCGAAGATCGGTGCCATGTGTGATTCAAGCCATGGCGAGGTGTTGTGAGACACATGTGTGGTGCCATGGGTCGTCTCAACAGTCTGTGCCCCATGTGGGATCTGAAGCAATGATGAGAGAGTCGCAGCATCACTCCATGGTTGCACGCCACTGGCACCAGCAACACCAGCAGCAACCGCAGCACCAGTAGCACCAGCAGCACCCGCAGCACCAGCGGCAGTACTAGCAGCAGCAGCAGAAGCAGAAGCGGCGGTTGCAGCAGCATGGGCAGAAATAGAGGCAGGGGCAGGGACAGAGCAAAGTTGAGGCGATCTCGTTTGGAGGCCTTCATATAAGTTAAAGCCGTGTGTGCTTGAGTCATTGTTGCCGTTGTCATTGTCACAATCCATAGAGCCACTCGCCTCTTCCCCACCACTCGAGGTAACCTCAGTCGCCTCGCAGCTTTCGCGTGACTTGCAGTCACTGTCAACGTCTACGTCTACGTCAACGTCAACGTCAACGTCAGCACCAACCACGACCTCGAGACCAATGCCAAGATCGCCACGGCTGCTGGTAGCACAGACGACATTGTCCCGATTCGTTGCATCTGCAGCGAAATATGACTTAGCACCGCCACCAGACCCATACAGTAGTCTAGCAGCAACATTGTCACCGGCGCCGCCGCCGCCGCTGCCGCAAGCGACATTGCCGCTACCACCAGTCTCATTTGCTGCCTGGTGAAAGTTGAGCTTCGCGCCAGAGCCGTATAGTCGTCTGGCTGCCACGTCATACGCCATCGCCGCGTCCGCTGCGCGCGGAAACGATCCCAGCCACAGGCGGCGCTTGCTGCGTGGCTCGCGGATCTCCGCCACCCACTTCCCCCAGCTGCGCTGCCGCACTCCGCGGAACGCGAACAGCGCGTTCTGCGGGCCGCCCTTAAAGCCCTTCCCCGCGCGCTCCTTCCCCGCGCGCTCGTTGCGCTTCTTGGGCTCCTTCCCCCCTCGCGCGGGGCTCCTGGGCTTCAGCAAGAAGGTCGGCGTAACTCCCGCCGACCACGGAGGTTCCGGGCTGCGGTCCTTAGATAGAGATGGTCTTGGGCTCATGATTTCGTGCGGAAAACGAAGAAACGACGAACGCAGGGAAAACGAAGCGGATCGATTTCGCAAATGTCCAGAGTTAGGCCAAAGCGGAATGGTCGACAAGCCGGCGGGAGAGAGAAACGCCTTCACAAGAATCACTCGAAGCCTTCACACTGCCTACTGCGCTTACTACAACCTCAGGCTGTCCGGTTCATGAGCCATGCTGGCTTCGACAACGTGGAGCGCTTATGTGACGTGGCCAAGATTCTGCCGCGGAGGAGGAATGGGGGGAACGTCTGAAGGAAGCATCAACGGATTCCAGCAATGGGGCATTGCTGCAGCTGACTGTCCGTGTGGGAAAAGTGCGCGCAAGCAGCTGCGGGGGGGACGCGGCAGGCGGCAGGGCGGCGGAACGGGAGTCCGCTACCCGAGGTATGAAAATCTCTGGGGGACGCGCGGAGGAGGGGGTGATGTCCAGTGATGGGGGGAGAAATCCCGATGGATATATCCATTGGGAGAGACGAGACGAGGAGTGAGCGGAGAGGCGAGGTCACTTCCGTTCCGTCGCGATGGTGAGTGTGGCTGGGGTATCATAGCGATGTACGTCATAATGACATCGGATGCCGCTATCTCGTTCGATCGGCTGAGGCGGGGAAGATCTAGTCGGGAGCACGTGATGCAATCTAGCGTATTGCGGATTCTCCCGTCGTCTGTGAGAAGGGAAACGGGAGCGGGAGAGCTTCGTCTGCCCCGTTGGATGCGTAAGTGAGAGACAAAAGATCCTCTCGCTCCTCACTCCCCTGTAGTCTGCCTCCTCTTCCCCCACCTCCCCTCGCGGGTGGGGGAAAAGGCGAAGGCTCCCCAAAACTTGCTGCTCCCCTCTGCTTCCGCCAAAGCTTGGCTCAGCTGAGTCATCATTCTATCCACCACCATGCTCGTTCGCCGTCCAAAAAATACCGGGCTTTTCGGTGAAGGGAGGATCGTCAGCCATTGCGGGTGCGCTCGAGCGGAGATTTCTAGCCTCTTGTAAATCGCAAGCGTATGATATCGGCGCAACCTAGGATCTGGATGTAGGAGATTTTTTGCAGTCTAGAGCGAGTGAGTCAGCGTGTGGCTCCTCTTAATTGCTGTAAAAAGACCTTCACGTGGGTCTAAGCAGCTCCTTGCAAGTCCCGACAGACATCCACCGGCAGGCTTGATGCCGAGAGCCGAGTTTACGCCATGAACTGAAAACGTTAGAATCTAGATTCAACAGCGGTAAGGGATTCCTGCCATGGATTTGGGGCACTGTAAAATGGAATGGTTTGAGCAGCAGATGTGAAAAGAGAGATTTGTGGGAGAGAAAGGGATTGACAGCTTCAGAAAAGGGTGGTTCATGTGTAATTGAGGTCAGCCGAGCTGATTTCGGGGCAGCGGCATCTAGACTGGCAGATTTGGTGTGATCTTTGCCACGTCAGTCCCTCGCTTAGACTTTCACAAATCCATGGCAGGAATTACGGCGCTGACTGGGTGGGCAGGATGGATGCCACGAGGGACCGATATTTCTTCGCATTGGCCCAAACATCGTTAGAGCCTGAATTCGTTCTTGCAATTAACATTTGCCACCAGTTACGACTCTGGATGTATACACTGTTACAGTGCAAATCCATCCTTAAAGATATGACATTTGCCTTTTTACCTCACAAATGGTTTTCAACATGTTCATATTGTATAACCACATGATCTCCATATGGAGCACTCAGTTTCTCAAACACACAATGCCCATTTGTCATTTTTATAAGCATTGATATCATGCCCCTAGATTCGTTTTGGACCGGGCTCATCCATCAGCCTTGGTACGGAAAAAAAAAAACATGACAATCAGCGTTACCTAGGGGAAAATCGCGGAAATTCAGGGTTTGTACAAAAAAAATACGCTGATTGTGTATGGTTTTGTTTTTAAACCCGAGTACAGCATTGTTATTTTCAAGTTCAAGATTCTTGAACTTGAAATCATAAGAAACATGGTGTTGTTAAACTTATGTTTATGATAAAAACTGTTTGCTGTAGTTATTGAAAAATTTGTGTTATTTCCTGTAGGTGGTGCACCTCCCTTGTTTCCTATATGTATATTCTCTCCATATTGAATCCTCCTCTTTTGGCCAATCTCCTCTACCTCACGATACCATCCTAAGCCTAAGTCCTAAGTCCTAAGCCCTAGTACCTCCTAATCTCAACATGGTTTCAGAGCAGGCCTAATCCTAGGCCGGTTTCTTTTTTTTTAATGGGCCCACGAGTACCTCCTGTCATGGCGTGCCCCGTCACGCTCACGTCGCGCTCTGCTCATAGCGCGCCCGTCTCACCAACAGCCCGTGGCGAGCGTGTCAGCGGCCAACCAGCGCACAGCCGCGCGCAGCTTCGTACGGCCGCGTGCAGCCGCGTACGGCCGCGCGCAGCCGCGTACGGCCGCGCGCAGCAGCGTACGGCCGCGCGCAGCCGCGTACGGCCGCGCGCAGCCGCGTACGGCCGCGCGCAGCAGCGTACGGCCGCGCCCAGCCGCGTACGGCCGCGCGCAGCCGCGTACGGTCGCGTGCGCCAACGCCAGCGTCAGCGCCAGCGCCAGCGACCTGCGCCTGCGCGTGCGCCAGCAGCGGCCGCCAGCGCCCAGCTCCAGCACGGACGCCAGCGCCAGCAGCAGCGTACGCCGCCTCCCCCCCCTTCCTCCCTTCCGCAGCTTCCGCCGTGGAAGGGGGGGGGGGGGAGATGAGGGGGTGGCGGGGGTGACCAGCAACTCCTCACACGCTGCCTCTCCTCTCTCTCACACACTGCAGCGCGTGCTGCTGTGGGGGGGAGGGTGAGGAAGTGGCGGGAGACAGCCGGCAGCACCAATGGCTGCGTCCATCCCCTCCTCCAGCCGCCTCTCCTCTCCTCTCCTCTCCTCTTCTCCAGTCTGTCAAACTTATATGACATAGTCTGTGTAGGCTGTAGTGGGGTAGTCAATATGGGGTACAACACTTTTAGGTTTTTCCTACTTGTACCCACCTGCTTGCTAATTCAATCATTCGTTCCTTCTCATTGCTGACATGGTTTCAGAGCAGGTTCCCTAGTGGGAACGTTTTTTAAAGGGCCCACCACGATTTTTTTTTTTCCTGCCCTGCCCGAAACGCGCCTCGCGCCTGCCTCACCTGCGCCGTCGCGCGCCCTGCTCTAGTGCCGCCCGTCGCGGCCCTGCCTTCTCGGCCCGTCGCAGCCCTGCTCTGTCGCCCGTCGCGGCCCTGCCCTGCCGCCCGTCGCGGCCCTGACCTAGCTGCTCGTCGCGGCCCTGCCCTGTCGCCGCCTCGTCGCGGCCCTGACCTCGCCGCCTCGTCGCGGCCCTTCCCTGCCGCCACCCGCGGCCCTGCCTTGCCGCGCGTCGCGGCCTGACCTCGCCGCCCGTCGCGGCCCTGGTCTGTCGCCCCTCGTCGCGGCCCTGACCTCGCCGCCCGTCGCGGCCTCTGCCCTGCCGCCACCCGTCGCGGCCCTGCCCTCAGCCGCTCGTCGCGGCCCTGCTCTACCGCCGCCCAGTCGCGGCCTTGCCCTGCTGCCGCCCTGTCGCGGCCCTGCTCTGCCGCCGCCTCGTCGCGGCCCTGCCCTACAAGCCGCCCCAGTCGCGGCCCTGACCAAACCGCCAGCTGCGGCCCTGCCCTGCACCCGCCCCTAGTAAGCACCCGCGCCGCCCAGCTGAGCCGCGCCGCCCAGCCGAGCCGCGCCGCCCAGCCGAGCCGCGCCGCCCTGCCGAGCCGCGCCGCCCTACCGAGCCGCGCCGCCCTACCGGGCCGCGCCGCCCTACTGAGCCGCACTGCCCTGCCCGCGCTGCTTCTGCTGCTACTGCTGCTTCTGCTGTTATTGCTGCTACTGCCGCCATGGCTAGCCCCAATGTTCTTACCTTTGATGCTGAGGGTCGTGCGGTTGACTTCAACGTTTGGGTAGACGACCTACAGCTCTTTCTACAGTGCGACTCTAAGGACGGAGTCTCCCTTTTCGATCACACGTCCGGTGTCTCTCCTGCACCTGCTGCCACAGCTGACAGTACGGTTCGCTCGCAGTGGACTACTCGTGACGCTGTTGCTCGTCTTGCTGTTCGTAGTCACCTGCCGTCTGCTGAGCGCGCGCACTTTGGCCAGTACAAGACTGCTCAGTCTTTGTACGACGCTGTAGTAGCGCGCTACTCCTCCCCTGCCACTGCTGCCCGCAGCCGCCTCATGCTGCCGTACCTGTTCCCTGACCTAGCCGCCTTTGCCACAGTCGCTGACCTCATTACTCACCTCTGCACTAGTGACGCCCGCTACCGCGCTGCGCTTCCCACTGAGTTCTGTGCCAAGAACCCCCCCCCCCATGTACATCACCCTCTACTACCTAGTCACCCGTCTCTCTGACTCCCTTTCTTCAGTCAGGGACCACTTTCTCTCCCTTTGCCCCACCGAGCTCACCGTCGACCTGCTAGAGGAGCGCCTCACTGCAGCTGAGATGAGTATCGTTGCTGTAGGTGCTTCTCGCGGCGACCCTCGCGCCCCTTTCTTTGAGGGGTGTTCCCCCGTCCCCCTTCTCCCCTCCGTTGCTTCTGCTGCTGCTGTCGAACTCGTTGGCATTGAGGAGGTCGGGGCTGCGTCTGCCCCTAGTGGGAGGCGCCGCTACGGCAAGGGCAAGGGGGGCAAGGGTGGTGGAGGGGACGGTGGGGGCGGCGGTGGAGGCGGTGGAGGAGGCGGAGGGGGTGACGGTGGAGGTGGGGGTGGTGGCGGGAGTTGGGGCGTCGGTGGCGGCGGTGGGGGTAGTGGAGGCAGCGGCAGCGGCGGTGGAGGCAGCGGCAGCGGCAGTGGAGGTGGCGGCGGCGGTGGTGCTGGTCGAGGTGGAGCCGCGCAGCGTGGAGGCTTTGGCGGTAGCCAGCGCCAGCAGCAGCCGCGTTCCCGTGAGACCCTGTCGCCCCAGCAGCTTCGTGAGTGGTACGCTGGGCGTGGGAGGTCTGTGGGGGCTGGTCCCTGTACTTAAGTTCTTCGCACCGGCGGGCG